TTTAATATTGATTTTCTTTTTAATACATGAATTTCTTTCATGAGCTGCTTTTGGGAGGATGTTTTTCTATTCCCTAATGGTTTTATTTTTGCTGTTTATAACACCATTTTTACTTAAATCTAATTTCAGTTAATTGTCGTCAGAAAATGTGCTTTCTACAATTTCTGGTTTTTTATTGAAAATTTAGTGAATTTCTTCATAGCCCTGTATATGATTAGTTTTTGTTATAGTTCCGTGGATGTTTGAGAAGAAAAAATAAAGGATGTTTTCTGTAAAGGCACAGTTTGACATGTATCTATAAAAAACAATATTGTTCAAATTTTACTCTATATCCTTATTTTTGTGTGATTGATTTACTCAAGACTGAAGTGCTGTCTGAACGTCTCCCACTCCTAGAACAATTTTTCCCTCTGCCACTTTTGCATTGTATATTTCAATCCTATGTTATTTGATTCTTAAGATTTATGAGTTTTATATGTTCGTTGTGAATTGTGCCCTTTATCAAAATAAGATTTTTAAGTCCCATTTAATGCACTTGGTCTTGAGTATGACTTTGTCATATATTACTATTGCTGTGCTTGCTTTAATTTATGTTTGCTCATCCTTTTAGTTTCAATATTTCTCTTTTAAAATATTTTACTGGAGGCAAACAAAATAGAGATGATTTAGGAGTGTTTTTCATACATGTCATGGTTTTCTTTTCCTCTCTTTAAAAGTATCTGTTATATACAATAGGCAGTGGGATTTTAAAAAACTAATCTGAAAGTTTTTGTCATTTAATAAGGCTGTTTAACCTGCTTATATTTAAAACAATTTTTGGTGTTACTTCCGTCATTTTGGTTTTATGCTATTTTCCATGCTTCATTGCTTTTCTCTCTCCCTGTCTCTTTCTGTCTCTCTCTCTGCCTCTCTCTCTTTCTTATGCAACATGGATCGATCATATTTTCTTTGATATTTTTCCTCAGTGTTCCTAATTCTGCTAGTGTTTCCCTTTTAGTTCTTGCAAAAGCATATTTGAAACTCTATTTCCCTCATCAATAATAACAGCTAAAATTGAATGATTCTCATGTGCCAGGCACTTTTCATGTACAGTATATGGCAAAATTATAGCAACCATTGAATGAGGTAGGTAATGCTATTTTTATGTCTGCTTTAAAGATGAGAAAACTGAGTCACAAAGAGGTTAAGTACAGAATTTACATAATGTTTCCAGAATCCACAGCCAAATTTGAACCCAGGCAATTTGACTCAAGTGCTTGCCTCTTTGTCGTCTTGCTATACTGCCTTTCCATTTTCAAGAATTAAGTAATATTTCTAAGTCCATTTAAATTGAAAAAAATATTTTCTTACTTTATTCCTCCCTTACATATATCTTTTTAATTTCGTTTTAGAACTAGATGATGACATTAAAATTTGATAATATGTATTTTATCCCTAGAGAATTATTTTTTACATTTACATTATGTAGTAACCATGTTTTCAGTAGTCATTTAGACTTAAACCTTGTTTAACTGTACTGTCCTTTTATATTGTTCTTTAGTTGGATTTTTGGGCAGTGAAGTATGTCTTCAAGTTATTATTTTCAATAAAGATAAGGTTATATGTTTTCTGAGCTCTTGCATATCTGAGCGTGTAAGCTACATTTGCTCATGACCAAAAACTTGTCTGGTTATAGGTTTACTGGATTATAATCCTTTCTACTTTCAAACTCTCAGCAGTATTCCATTTCTTCTGGCATCCAGTATTGTAGAAGGAAGTATGACCCAAGAATGATTCTTTGCGTATACATATATGTACATGTACAGGTTTATGTATACACACACACTCACACTTTTTAAAAATAGCCTTAATTGTAGGGTGTGACCCCCATTCTGCTCAATAAGGAGCAGTGCTGTTGGGTTTAGATTGGCAGTCAATCACACAAGATTAGTCTTTACACAACCAAATTTACGCATCCTTGAGAAAGGATACACGGCAAGTAACAACACAGCATCCGTGGAAGGGGCTTACGAAGGTCTTGAGGCTCCCAGGCACAGCTTCCTTTGTCCTCGTCCCTCTTCACTGGGGAAGTATGTGGTCATGAGTGATGAAGCTGAGTGGGCAAGGACCGTCTCAGCCTGGGAAAGCCATCAGCCCTGGGGTTTCTTCAGCTTTCATACTTGGCTAGCTATGTAAGCCCTTTGGTTGTGTGTGTACAATTAGTTAGCCACCTTGTCTCCTCAGGGGAAGGAGACTCCCACCCAATTTCCAGTTCAGGCGCATCTCCTCAATGCCTCGTACTTATCACTCAGTGAACAATCCCAAGAATGAAGTACAAAGGTTTGGTCAGATACACGGGCCTCAGCCGAATTCTCATTTATTTTGAATCTGAGTTTATTTCTTACCTTGGTGTGGAGGGCAGAAAAATGGCCCCCAAAGATGTTCACATCATAATCTCTGGAACCTGCGAAGATGCTGCTTTACATGGCACAGGGACTCTGCCGATATGATCCAGTTAAGGATCTTGAGTTGGGGAGATTATTCTAGATTGTCAAGTTGGGTCCAATGTAATGGTAAGGGTCCTTATAAGTGAAAGAATGAAACAGAAGAGTCAGAGCCAGAGAAGGAAATGTGACCATGGAAGTAGAGGCGGGAGTGATATGATTGCTTGCTTTGAAGGTGGAAGATGGCACCAGGAGACAAGGAGTGCAGGTGACCTCTAAAAGCTGGAAAAGGCAAGGAAATGAGTTATCTTTTGGAGCCTCCAGAAGGAATATGATCCTGCGAATACCTTGATTTTTGCCCAGTAAGACTCATTTTGGACTTTCGACCTCCAGAACTGTAAGATAATAAATTTGTGTTGCCTTAACCCACTAAATTTGTAGCATTTTGTTACAACAGCAATAGAAAAATAATACACGACGAAAGAGAATGTGACAAGAGTCTTCATAGTGTCTCAAAGAGGGAAGGGCAAAGCTGGGATATTTATTGAGACTTTAAGGTCTTGTTCAAAGGCAGGTATATTAATGTGGGGGCTTGATTAGCATTGGGTAAGGATCATGATATAATGGTTTAATATTCGTGGGCGCTGTAAGGCAAGAATCCAGAGGAGAGGGGTTAAAGGGATTTGATCAAAGAGCCAGTTGATGCTTTCTGTTGAATAGTTCATGAAATGTTTCTGGAATGAGCAATAACTTTATTTATAATTTTTATTTTTCTGGGCAAGAGTTTCCTATAATAGTAAAGTTATGTTGTTGCAGACAGGGAATAATAAAGTTATGTTAATGTAGGCAGTTGACTGTGTTGGGGTAGATGATTAGGGGTCTCAATTGTAAAGAGGATATGACTCAAGGTTAAATTTTCAGGTATCCCTGAGGCTAGAGGAGAGGCCACAGAATCATTTGTAATCTTTTCTTTCCTTGGAACTTGTTTTTTTCCTTACAACTCAAATGTTTCAGTAGAGTACAGGTAGATTTTGGTCTATTTCTACCCAAATGCTGGGATTTTTACTTAGTCTAGGAAATTCTTTTTCTTGTTTCCTGGTGTATTTGTTTTCTATTGCTGCTGTAACAAGTTATCACAAACTCAGTGGCTTAACCAATAAAAGCTTTTCGTCTTACAGCTCTTTAAAAGTTTGACACGGGTCTCACTGGGCAGAAATCAAGGTGTTGGGGCTGAGTTCTTTCTGGAGTCTCTTGAAGGCATCTCTTCCAACTTTGCTGGAACCTGCATTCCTTGGCTTTTGGCCCTCTTCCTCCATCTTCAAAGCCAGCAATGGCAGGCTGAGTCCTTCTCATGTTGCCATCTCTCTGGTTCTCTGCTGTTGGGAAAAGTTCTCTGCTTTTAAGCGCTTGTGATTAGATTGGCCCAAACTATATAATGCAAGATAATCTCCCCATCTCAAGTAGACCTTAATCTTAAACCTATATGCAAAGTCCTTTAAGGTAACATATTTACAGGTTCTGAAGATCAGGGCATGGATACCTTTGGGGGAGCCATTATTCTGCCTACTATTTCTATAGCAAATCCTTTTCACATGTAAACACTGCCTCTACCTTTTGAGGGCACTACTCCCCTTTTCATAATATATTTTATGACTATTTTATAAATATATTCATAGGATTCATGTTTGTTTGTTTCATTTATCTAGCAGACTTGTTATTTGTCAAAGAACAAGCTGGGCAGTTTCTCCTTAGCCCTGTTAATACCTAGTTGATTGCATTGAAAGCTTTAGATCTTCAGCTGGAAGGATAATTTTGGGGCACTGATGTTCTCGTGTTGGAGAGGGGCAGCTTCTGTCTCTCTGGTTACTGAGGTCAGCGTGTCACCCTTGTCAGGGTATGAAGTGAGGGTGGGATGGAATCTCTGAACCTCTTTATGACCCATCTCACTGTTTGAGTTATCAAAATATCTTCAGAGGTCTTGAAGATTGTTGACCAAGAGTCCTAGTTTCAATGGTTACCCCATTTTTGTATCTTTCTGTGTTTTAAACGAGTGTTAAATGGGAAGGTAGGGTAGGAAAAGTCGATTGCTACTAGTTAGTTGTTCTCTTTGCTTAGAGTTCACCCTGGATCAATTGCTTTCCATTTTCCTTCCATATGCTTACAAGTCTCCTGACATTGCTTGGTCCTAATGTGCTATGTGTTACTGAAGCTCTCTGTCTCGTGTTTCTGAGCACCCTGGGTATGCCCTCTCTTCCTGGTAGCCACATTGTTTGTATGCTACAGTGATGGGAAGGATGCTGTATGCCTCTCCCTCTTGCTTGCAGTGCAAGTATAAAACAGATATTCTACTATGCAGACATGTGGGAATGATGCTTACTGTTCAGCTTTATTGAACTTCTCCTAGATGGTAGGAAGAACCTCCTTTATAATCACTTACTGCCCAATATTGAGTAGATTAGCTTAGCTAAATACTTCTATGCTACATAGAGTCACATGAATATAAGCTTTGTTGCTGTTTTCTGTTGCTTATTATCAAAAACATTAATAATATACACTTCTGCTTCATCTCTGCTCCAGACTCACCTTGACATCCTGGAAAAAAGCGTGAACCCCAAGCAGGTCTACTTCCGGCAAGAGGTTCTGTGCCAGACGCTAGGAGGGAATTCGTGTCCATTGGTGACCATCACGGCCATGCCTGAGTCTAAGAGTGCTGATCATGTAGAGCAGTTCCGTGAGTAAAACGAGGAGCCTCTTTTCTGAAGATCTGGTGGCGAGGGGGTGTTCTCACTGTGTTGTTGGAAGCACTCTGTTGCTTTGAGATCAGAAGCTCCACAAAGAGTTGGGGACTGGTCTATCTTTATAGAAAGACACCCCCAACTCTTCTTGGTGTGAGACAAAGGGTAAATACTAGTGTTGCTCTGTTGTTAAAGGGAGAAAAAATAAATTGCAAACCATCAGGGAGGTGAAAGACTCGTTGGGATTGAGAGCAGTTTACTAATGACAGTCACTTCCTCTCCTAAAACAAAACCAGGGCTCTGAATCACACTTCCAGCCTCTAACCCAGGGACTATTCTCGCCGTGCTTACTTCCATTATCCGACTCCCACAGTCAGTAAAGGTTTGTAGAGGAAGGAAGTTGAGTTTTGGAGCCCCGGCTGAAGAATCCCCTTGATAACCTGAAGACCTTTCCAATCTGAAGGACTGATGGTGTGGAGGAGGTTCTAGTCAAGAATCATAAAATCACACCAACACACACACAGGCACACACACACACAAGCCGTTTGAATGTTAGAGCCTGAGCACAGATGTGACTTACCTGTAATCAACCAGCTTTTGAAGTTGGCTTCTGATGTAATTTTAGACCTTAGGTAGGCGAGAAAAACCAAACAGAAGGAGGAATTCTCTGCAATACAGAAAAGTTTGGGAGGTGAAAGAAGAGACTGGGGAATAAAAATCCAGCTCATTCCTCCGCAGAAGATGCAGCCTTATCTGATGAAGTGCTAACTGGGTTCAGGTGACTCTTGGTGGATGCGAAATGTGATTTCTCACACCCCATCAGCATCTGACAATGGATGCTTAACAGCCTGGCTAATCAACAGCTGATGATCCCATCTGAATGAATGAGGCCCTAAAATGCTTTAATGAATAATAAGGGATTTTCCAAAAATTCTCTTATGAGTTTTATGCGTTTAAGAGCAATTTCTGTAACAGTCACGGAGTCCTGCACTCACAGATGAGCAGTTCTTGGAAGGCGGAGACAGTAATCCTTCCAGTGCAATGTTCACTGAACAATTATTTATTTAAGAAAGTGGCTCTGTGTAAGTCTGTGTTTTGCAGGTGCACTTTCTAAATAGGAGCTGAGCAGAACCCGATGCATAATTACGGCATGGAGCTGCCTTGGCTGTTGCATTTTTGTTTATGCTAACGTTGATGCTTTTATTGATGTTGTAACTACTGAGATCATTCTTCCTTTAAGGAGAAGACTTGAAACATGGTAAAGGCCCCTACGCAATTTGGCACTTGGAATAGTTGAGTTAACGAAAAGAGAGAAAAGATCTCCTAGCACACCCTTCTATGAATCACAGGAGGCTGGTTTCTGCTTGCTCTGTAAGATTAGTAATACTAAATGTACGCTCTCATGTAGCATTACTGTTTCCTCTCTTCAATGTGTGCTAATATGTCAGCTGTTGTCCATCTCAAGAGGTGTCCTGGGCGGGCATGGAGAGGGCCCATATATTGGTGAGATGAACGCTGTTTATTTTCTTCTTGGCATAATAAACTTGCAAGTGATGGTCATTGAGCTGGATCCTGAGGAAACCAGGGCTCTGCCCTAGGAGAAGGGACTATTTAGGGTCATCTTCATAAGTGTGCCAACTGTACAGCATGCAGATCCCATGCTTAGAAGGGCCTTGCGCTTTGGTTAATGCTCTTCTGTCACCATCTTGAAATTCTTTTTTATTTTTTTTGAGGAAGACTAGCCCTGAGCTAACTACTGCCAGTCCTCCTCTTTTTGCTGAGGAAGCCTGGCCCTGAGCTAACATCCCTGCCCATCTTCCTCTGCTTTATATGTGGGATGCCTACCACAGCATGGAGTTTGCCAAGTGGTGCCATGTCTGCTCCCGGGATCCGAACTGGTGAACACTGGGCCGCTGAGAAGCGGAACGTGTGAACTTAACTGCTGCGCCACCAGGCCGGCCCCTTGAAATTCTTGAAAAGGTTTCGAACAAGGGACCCTGTATTTTCATTTTGCAACGTGCCCGGCAAATTGCATAGCTGGTCCTGGGACTAATCTAAGGTCATAGAGCTAAAAAGCGACACAGGCTAGCACCCTTCCCAAGATACCCTCCTCTATTTCCAAGTCATGCAAGAAGAGTTCCAACCTATTTCACCTTCACACTGAAACTCTTACTTGTATGGATTATGTAGCTGATTGGCATCTTTCATAATGGGGGTTGAATTTAAGACTCTCCATTTTACAGATGAGGGAAGTAGGGTTCAGGAAGTTAAATACTACGGTCCATGGTGGTGCCGATTTCTGATTTTGTTACTCTATTCCAGAGTCCATACACACAACAAATGTGCAACAGACGCGTCAGAACAGGTGTTCAGTCTCACCATTCAGGCTCCACTCCATGAGCCAGAGCTTTCCCTCCTCTCTGTCCTATGTCCTCACATTATTAGAAGCTAGCTTAGCTGCTAAAGCAACTCACCCTAAATTGACCACAAATAAATGTATTACCGTCTTCCTGCTCACAATGAATTTTATTTTCCTTTTCTAAGGCAATGGAAGCATTTTCATGGTGGATGTTTCAGACATTGTGGCAAGAAGGAAGGGGGAGAGGAGATTCATACCCTTCAGATTCCAGCACAGAGCTGAGATTGCATGGCCTGGGCCGCAGTGCTGGGAGCATAATCTCAGACGGGCGACAGCATAAAAAATTTGCGCTGCAGGTTGCAATACACATATACATAAACACATGCCATTGCTGTGTTTCTAAAAGAAAAAAACCCAAAACATAGCACAATACAGACACCATCTAATCTCCAAAATGCAATTAACCAGGGCTGTAAATCAGAAATAAAACCATTTAACTTCCTTTAAACCACAAAATGTGATGCATTGTTTTAGGAGGAAAAAATAGCAAATGAGCCAGCAGCCCAAGACTCTCCTTCTCCAGACCTCCCTCCAGGTGGGCTTCGATGTCTTACCTGTTTCCTCCCTCCCAAGGACTAGGAGGGAGGGTGTGCAGTTGTATTTAGCTGTGATTTGGCTCGTTTCTGGGTCAGTGGCTGCCACTTACCTCTCAAAGGGAGGTATTTGTGCACTGAAAGACTTTCTTTCCACTGTGTAGGATTATCACTTCAGTCTTATTTTAGAAACCCAAGAAATAAGAGAATGGCTATGGGGCGTAGGGAGAAGGCCCCGCTCGAGACCAGTTCCCCTGGTGGTCTGGCCCAAAGTCTTGGACCTGGAGATTATTCAGGACAATTTATTGATTGCTTTTAGTCCTTCCCAGGGTCTGGGCTCCAGAGAGTCTCCTAGAAGGCTTAATTTGGTTTGATTTATTTTTCAAAAGCATTTTTTAAATAAAAACGATATATTCTTGCAAGCATTTAGCCTTACTTTCTTGATAAATATCTTTTCAGTTCAGTAGACGCCAGATTTACCTGGTGTGTATTTTATCGCTATCTGGAGAATTGGGGACAGGGGCCTTCTCATAATGCTCCCAAGAGAGAAGACTTGCTACTTTACAAACCTTGAGATGTGGGCCCTCAGAGCCGAGATGCTGCCGGATCTCCAAAAGCAAAGTCACTCTCTGCCCTTTTCAGTGGGACAGTGAACAGGGAAGTTGTCTGAGAAACTGTCACTGAAGCTGTTATGGAAGAGACAGGCTTGAGGAGAAATCGGTGATGAAAGGAGCTGTTACAAAAGGATAAACAGCTCATTCTAGCCTCAGAGACTCTTAGTGGATGAGGCATTGGGGAACCGGAAAGTCCAGGCTCTTCCTACCTGGGAGGATTCTGGATGTCAAAGGAGCCCTGGATGTTTGGGGTTTGTAGAGCAGAGAGTGAGTGAGGAGGAGTGAGCAGGATTCAAGAGAGTGGGACAAAGGCCCCAAGAGGATGGAACTGAAGGGATCAGAGGAGCAGGTCTGGGGATAGGTTTGGTAGGCAAGATCAATCCAGGAAATTGTTTCTAGTGCTTTCTGAGACTAGTCGCCATTGGTTAATGGTGTTCTGGCATAATTATACTCAGCCTCATTAAATCCTTTAACACATTATATGTTAATAGGTACTTTGATTAGCAGATCCTTTGAATATGCAACTTCCAGGAAGAGAGTTGAAAAGTTGTATTTTCTGTAGTTTGTGTACGCTTCAGGAACAGGGGCGTGTGTGTGTGTGTGTGTGTGTGTGGGTGTGCGTGTGTGGTGTCTGCTTTCTGCTTGCAGAAGTGCTGCCTCTCCTGTCACAAGCCTTCGATACTTGTCATTATCTCTGTCTTGCAAATGGCGAAGTTAAGGCTCACCTAAGGTAAATAACCAGCCCAAGGCCACCAGAGTAGTAAGTTGTGCTCCAGGAGGAGCGCCCAGGTCTCTGTCCCACAGTCCGGGATATCGTCCTCCTTTAGGCTCTGTCCTCACTGGGAAAGTCCCCAGAAATGCACACGATCCAAACACGCTGCTTATTCAAGACCACCATCGTTTTGTTAACTTTTCCATTTTCTCCACACTTTCCCCATAACCTCGTATTCCCAGTTACCATTGCAGCCCAGAGAAAGTTGGTTTTTGGTTTAGGGAGCTACATCTCTATGACAGATGCTTCATTTTTCTCAGGAGCTTTATTGCCAAATTTTCCCACTTTGGACACCTATATGTTCAGACCCTATAGCAATGTTGTCTCGACTATCAAGAGCTGCCTGAGAAGAGGAACTAATGTGTGGGAATTTTCTGAGAGAAAATGTCATTCTCCTATTAAAAACTCTCATTCCCCAAGTGAATAGTCACTGACTGACTCACTGACTGGTGAGAAGTCAGAAACAACAAAGGAGGCTGGGAGGAGATGGACCTGCTGTTTTTGCAGTCAGACGCACCTCCACCCTGCATTTATTAGAACCTCAAAAAGCAAAGTGTAACCTTTAGATGTCTCTGGAGGTGAGACAATCTTGCTCCACGGCCACAGTTTCCAGTTTCCTCTGGCTCATACACTCTTCTTTCCAGGGGGCCTGAGATAG